CATAAACCTGCCGTGATTTTTTTCAGAATTTTTAGAATTTTTTGGTAATTGAGCTTTTCATCTTTCGTCAGATGTCGATAAATTACGATGGATTTTTTTTTTGCAAAATCTACATTCCTTTCCTGTGGTTTTTGAAGTTTCCCATCAAATTAGAGAATTTTAAGAATTTCTTTTAGAAAAAAAGAAATATGTTACCCTACGTTTTTTAAGATGTAATATTGTTAGGGATTTCACTGCCTCTTTTATTTAACTACGCAGTCAAGAACATTTTCTTACTTTTGCTTTCATTAAGAACTTACCATCCTTTTGGCAAATTCAGATGTTGGACAAATGTGGAAGTTGTGGCGTCTTCAGCTGTTATCGTGTATTGCATACTGCAATTCGTTTTTTGTTGATCAACTCAGTTTCATAGGCGATTGAAATTACATCTGTAATCATTAACCAAACCATCTGACATGTTGTTCAGTCTAAAACTGGAATTTGATATTTTTGATTTGACACATCGCTCTGTCTTTTCTTGTTATTGAGTTGTGTCTGCCTTACAACACTGTTGTGTGACGTTATCAAAAGAGAAAATGAAATAATTGTTTTAATTTGTTCAATACAAGTCAGTATAAATATACTATACATATATATTCACACGTGTCACACAAACACAAAATAATAATTTTTTTTTACATTTATATCCATTTCATTCACATCCTTTTTTATTCTTTTTTATACTATTGCTGCATAAATGTGACCAATAAATAATTTTAAATGTTTCATGGCAATCGCCTTTTACTTTTTTTATTTAAAATCTCTAGAAGGAAACTACGATAGGACAGAGAACAAGGAGAAGAGCGGGGAGCTGGGAGCTGCTGGGGTGGCAGCTCCAGCAGGGGGTATCAGGCTAATTAAAGAAAGCATTTGTCAGAGATTAAGCCTTAAACAGAAAAGGTCATCTGAGCAACCGAGCGCACTGTCTTTCAGCTGTGCTCTTAGGGCAGTCTAAACCTTTACGAGCCTAAATGGTAAAGATGCTATTTGCCGTGAAATGGGGGATGGGGCGGGGGGCGGGGAGGGTGGGCAGATCTGGACCTGTGACGAGACTGACACTCGGGTCATTGCTTCTTCACTGTCCATTACACATGCTGGTCAAATCTGGCAATCGGTGTCATTTAGGGATGAAAAATAAGTGCTGGGACAAGATCAATAGGCTGTGGCGTCTGTACCAGCGGTGATTAATCAACTGTCAACAATTAATGGCTGGCCTGTTGCAAAGGAATGAGATTGTAGAGGAACAATAGGTCTTGCCAAAATAAGCATTTATTTTAAGCCTGTAAGTGGTTATTTGAGGCAGATTTTCCAAGTAACACTTCAGCACAGCAATTCAGTCTCTACTTTTTTGGCAGTCTAATAAGATAAAATCCAAAACGGTTGTTAAATATTTTGGAATTTTACTTTTGTTATATATGTTATGTATGTAGTTTTAATTATTTGGATATTTCTACATTCCCATATACAGTAGTACCTTGAGATATGAGTATAATCTGTTCCAAGACTGAGCTCGTTACGTAAGGTGAAATAACAGAAAAAAAAATTAATCTGTTCCGGCCCTCTAAAAAGCTCCCTTATTAGTGCTAATAACAATGAAAAAACATGCTATAGAGACATATACACACAAAAAAATTATAGTATATAAGGATTCCTGTGATATAAAATAAAATGTGGTTTTAATTATGAGCTCTTACCTTCGAGACAGACGATACAGTAGCGGCTAATGGCGGCATGTGAGGAGGAGAAGGGAGGGAAGATTGTTGGCCCGTACGTAGACACTTGATTCCGTACTGTATAAACTTAGAATTAATTTAAATCACGTAGATAACGCAAACACAGTACGGAAGACTTGGGAGATGCGTACGGAAGTCAACAAACACGTGAAGTGAACGTGTGAGGCGACGTGGTCTGCTCCAAGTGCTCGGCCACCTAGCGTCGGCGTCTGGTAGCGTGCTCGTATCTCAAATCTTTACTTGTATCTCAAAGCAAAAATTTGCTCGAAGGCTTGCTCGTATCTCAAGGTACTACTGTAAGTATATGAAGTGACTGTGACTAAATGTAATTTTAAACCTGTTTACTTAAAATCACAAAAAAACAAAAACACGTATTTTGAACAATCGGTGAGAGCAATTTATGGTTTCTGATGCACTTTGCATTCTGTTGAAAACAACCAAACAAATGAGTGTTTTTAAAGAGGGATCAGAGTACAAGCTTATTTTGCAGTCAATTCTAATCCCATTAGACCCTAAGAAGAGGTCCTGTTCTGCAGACACAATGAATAGGAAGATGTTTCTTTTAGATGCAAGGCATGGCGCCAGAGGTTTAAACTGGGACAGAGTTGAAATATAAAATTATTTGATTTGGGAATTATATTAATAATATAAAGTAGTGTAGGGTGGTCATTAATCAATGCAAAAACAAATAATTCTGCATGGAAAATTTTGGACTGCTCATTAAACCTCACTCTCACACTCTATATTTTTTTAACACACTGATTTAAACCACAGCACAACAACATTAAATACAGTATCTGCAGACTTGCTGAAATGTATTCATTTATTTTTACTTCTCTTTGCAAGATCTCGAGTATATTTTTTCAAGTTTGACTTTGTTTGTCATGCAAATCACTTTCCAATTTTAAATTTCCAGTACACTTTTATTTAAATACACCTGTCCTAAAATTGGTGTCTGTCGCTTAACATGTGCAGATGCACGTCTGTTTATAGGGCAATACCAGCTGCAGGTTATGAGTTTAATATTTTATAATATTTTGTGAAACTAACAAGCCATGCTGCACACTTGAATATATCAAGGTGCGACCTCCTGACAACCATTCAAGCCATAACAGGTCATTTGTCATGGACATTTTCGATGATAATAGCAATTATTTACCCAGAAATAGGATTGACATATAATATGCATTTTTGTATGTGAAGTAGTGGAAACCAATTTTCCTCTAGCAGTAGTTCTACAACTATGATAGTGAACAAAACAAAACAAAACAGGCTTTAACTGTTGAGTTCAACTTTCACTTACCAACACTTATGGTAATTTATGTTTCAACTCCTGTAATGATTAATATTTCATGTTCCTAAAAAATGCTACAAAAGTGCACTATATAAAAAAAATTGAAACATTTTTTTAATTTGTTTGACATAAAGCAAATTTTGACTATATGTGACTATGTACCACTAATAAATATTTTTAGCCTTTAACCTGTGTTTATTTAACATTGCATTTCTATCTGACATAAAAAACGATAGAACACAAAGCACTATTAGCTCAAATTTAACGTATGGGAAGTGACATATTTCTAGGTGAAGGCCATTCGCCCAAATCCAGTCGACATTTCCGCCCTAACCGTCAATAGCCTTTTTGACCATTTACGGCTACAGTAGCTCGACGCTCTGGCGCGCAGTGTCGAGACGGATGGAGATTTGTTCTTCCGTTAAGAAAGTGTTTATTGTTTCCGCTCTTTTTGTTTTGAATCCGTATGAATATGGCTTTTAACTACCAGGCGTCGACTCTTTCCATGACTTTGCCCATTTCTTGTCAAATATGTCTGGGGAAGGTAAGTCTAGCTGTGTGTTTTAAAGCGTCAATATCCGGCATTGGTGAAAAACAGTCGAATTGTTTACATCAGATTGTGACACAATGGCCACTGTGAAGTGAACGAAGTGAAATTGTTTACATCAGATTGTGACACAATAGCCACTGTGAAGTGAACTTCAAGTTTATATCCACAATAGGCATAAATCTATGGCGTTTCGATAACTTTCAATACATTGCGTTGTCAGTGTTAAAGTGTTTCTTTTTGTGTGCAGGTCAGGCAGCCGGTCATTTGTGCAAACCACCACGTGTTCTGTTCGTCCTGCATGGAAATGTGGTTAAAGAAAGCGAGTCAGTGTCCGACCTGCAGAGTCCCCATCACAGCAGAGAATCCCTGCAGAGAAATCATAGGTAAGTTTACCTCGTACACAAAAACAAACTGACACAAAGCAGAGCTGCAATGCAGAGACGAGCCTTTCCCTGAACTGTGAAAGTTTCATGTTCGTAAAATAGAACTGCAACTTCTACACGTATCTTTTCACTGAACGGTTACATTTGGTTTAAGTCATATGGTTAAAGTTGTGTATGTATACTTTGGAATAGGTTTTTGTTGTTGTTGTGGTTGTTTGTCTGTTTTTGTGACTCAGCTATTTTGGTCTAGTTTTTGTTGTTTAAGAAAAATGCATTTTAAATCTCAATATTGAGAAGGTTGAAAATGTGGAAAGTACAAATCATAAAAATATTAAATCTAGTTAACTGATCATTAAAGAACTCTATGTCGTCACACTACTGCGTCATTGACAGGTAGATCAAAGTAAATTTTTGTAATACTCCTTACACCCCTGCTGTAGCATGTAGTAAATGTGTAAATTCTCCTTACTTACAGTGCTAACGATTTTGAAATGGGTTGAAAGGTTTTGTGTTTTAATTTTATTTACACTGTCCTCGTCAGTGAACTGGGAATACAAGCAGCGGTTGAAGGAAGAAAATACCACTATGACCTACAAGTCATGTTAATCAATAATTCTGGCTGAAATTTCTGCTCCATGCTCTGGGCCTGACACTCACCCGAGGCTTTTGTTTACAATCTTTAAAGAGAAACTCTCTGATATTTTTTAAAGAGAACATTCACCTTGAGATAAAGTGGTTTTACCCCTCTTAACTTGGGCCTGGACTTTAATAATACAGTTATGTGGTTGTAAAAATTCATTCATTCATCCCTTCATTCATTGTTTTACAACTTCATTCTTTTCAGGGTTGCAGGGGAGGTAGGTGGGAGGCAGGTACACCTTGGAGAGTTTTCCAGTCTATCACTGTGCCACATAGAGACAAACAGCCATTCATACTCATACTATCAATTTATGGAACAAATAACCTAATTCTTTTTGGTTTTGGGCTGTTGGAGAAAAACTTCTTACAGAGAGTCCATCCAGTACAAAATATTCTACCCTGATTGTTAAAAACATACATAAAAAATAGATATTTCTTCAGTTTGTTGAAACAATTGAAAACATACTGGAGTAAGTTTAGTGAGGGAAAAAACTCATCATAACTTTTGAAACTCTCTCTCTCTTTTTTTTTTTTTCATACAGGCGGTACAAATGAAAGTGATCATGTTGACACCCCCTCTGTGAGAAAATGTCTAAGAAAATCCAGAGGAGAGCTGCTTTTACGGGAGTATGAGGTAGTTGATCCTTATTAAATGTATCACATGCTGCTAGGTTTAAGAAAATATTTGTCATTTACTGCAATTTATATTAAGTAAAATATTGTTTTTGTGAGTTACTCACCTGTATACACCAAAACTGTCCTGCTGCTCATGAAATTAGTTCATTGAGTTATAAGTGTGTTGTCCAGATGTCATGTTTTTGCCAATTCCAGTATAAGTATTTTTATTTGTGTACTTGCTGACACTGTGTACCGACACTGATACTTTCGTAGGTTTGGTTTAAATAAATATGGAGTGGACAGAGGGCAGTGTTTAGTAGGGGTTGGTCAATATGCGGTGCGTAGGTGTGAGCTCAACCGAGACCACAGTGAGGACACCAAGCACTGTCACTCATTAACAGAACACTGTTTTAGACCAAAAGGGAAACCAATCATTCTGCATTAAACAAAAACACGCCAAACTGACGCTGTCATCAAATTAGACGATACGTCCGCAAGATGAAGGATAAATATTTAAGGTGTTATTTTGCCTAAATATTGCATTTCATTTGAAAAGACCCAGTGATGTTGTACGTTTTTCATTCTCCTAATTTTCCATCGACAGGCTGAAATTGACACACTCATCAGAGAAAACGAGGAGCTGAAAACAAAAAATCAATGTCTGGAAGAACAATTGAAGACGGCGTTGGATCCTTGCACTGTAATCAGCATGCATACGGATGATAAAAGAGTCGATTCCCAAATTCTGGAAGAATGGAAAAATAAACTACGGACTGCCACAGATGTTTGTGATAAAATAAAGCAGGATATGGATAAACTGAAGGAGGTAATGTAACCTTTAATAATCAACTTGTGGTGCACTTTACTGGGGTTACAACCGCATGGCATGGATTTTATTGCTTCCCTATGAAAAGATGTAACTTTTCTGAAACCCTTTGAGGAGCTGAACATAATCTATGGTCTAAGTAGCTGTAAAAGGTTATATAGAGGTATACATTTAGTTCTGAATAAACATTTGTATTTTTGTTCATGAAAGAATACAGTTAATTAATATTGTGTGCAGTGTTTTTAATCATAATTTTAAAGAGAATAATAATTAGTTAAAACATATTTTATAAGTAATTCTTTTTGTCAATTACTAGATATTTCGGGTGAATTACAGGTGACCCCATGTGGGGTCACGACCCCAAGGTTGAAAAACACTGCCTTAAACATGTGTGTTATTTTTATATTTTTAGGCAAATAAGACATTACGATCCCAAAACTTGGACCTCGTGCAGGAAAACATGCGACTAAAAGCAGAAGTGGCCAGTAGATCACCACAAAAGTGAGTCTCTTTTAATAACTGTCAATAAGACCATCAATGACAATCAGTGCCACTTTCATGTGTAACGATGAACTGATCTGTGATGAAACTGTTTCATTGGGGTTATGTTTATCTCTACGGTTCTGTCTGTAGTCTGGTTTTACGTTTGTTGAAATTTCAGATCAATTTATGCCACTCAATCTTTTTCTAGGTTTGGACGTTATACGGTGGCAGCACTGGAGGCTAAAATCCAGCATTATGAGCGCGATGTGGACCACTTGAAGAGAGCTCTGGAGCGCAGTGACCAGTACATCGAAGACATGGAGTCTCGGATCAGAAAGTCGGAAAAGAATTGTTCTGAAGTGCAGGAAGCCAGTGGGAGTAGCAATGTGGGTTCAGGCAGTCTCACACAGCATCAGAAAATCAGCATGATGATAAGAAGTTTGAGTGACAATGAAAGGGCGTCCATCTGCAGCAATCCAGAGACAGAATGTCGAACATTTTCCAGAAACCATAGCTTAGTGTTCATGCCATCTGCAGATCACAGGGAGTTCAGTAAAAATCCCACAGTTGAAAGGAAAAGTGAAAACCTGGAGACTGCTTCTCCTGACATTTTGCCCACCACTCCGTCCACTGCTTTCCGTTCACTGACTTTGAGAAGCCCTGGGATCCGTGAGAAAAAAGTGGCATTTAAACCTGCGTCTTATTTGAGAAGACTTGATTTTGAAGATTTCCCTAGCCCTGACAAGGCTACCAGCAACACGGAAAATCAGTTCATCAGTCTTGACAAATTCCCCAAAGCCTCAGCTTCAGATGTTGATGCTGATGTTGAGCCCAACGAATCTGTTCTCTGGGTCGGTTGGGAGAGATCAAACCCTAATGAGCAACCGTGCACGAGCACAGACAGCTCAGTGAAAGCCTCGACATCCATTCTAGTAGGTAATGTGTCTGACACTTTCCAGATGTCCAGTGAAGCTTCCATGGATGCAGCTTATCTGGATAAAATATCAGAGTTGGACTCCATGATGCTGGATGGAGAGAGTTCTAGTAGCAGGGGATCCCAGCTCTCACTAAACTCCTCTCCTCCAACAGACATGGACAACACTCTGGTACCAGAACCTCAGCGCTCAGATCACTCACCACACATTGAAGCAGGCAGCGCCCTCAGTGACAAGGTGGCTCCGAAAGATGACGATGATGATGTTTTTGTAGGCCTGGTGTCAGGTAGGGACGCCCTAGTTGGTGTTTCTGGTTGTACAAAGAGCAGAGTTCCCTCCCAGACTGAAGAACTGTCTTTTGATTTGCTGTTTGATACGCCAGAAGAGAACCAGGCTGGTCCCTCAGACTCGCTGGGTCCAGTGAGCAAAGACGTAAACCATGATCCTGTAAACACCTCATCTTCGTCCTCCATCGCCATTTGCAATGGGAAACCTGCAAACACAGCACCAGACAGACACACACTCATCAGCCAGGCGGCAAAGAGAAAGTCTCACAGTCCTTTTAGCACCAGTAGCCCCACCAAACATTCAAAGCTCATGTGAAAGGTTTCCAAATACGTGTTTGTTGCACATGCTTCACATTAAACAGAAATTATAACAGTCGAACCTGAGTTGTTTGGTGACAAATAATAAAAAGAAAAATTAGATATTCAATGTCTGTTTTTGTAAGCTGTCTTCTGGATGTGTCATCCATTTGTAGGTCTGAGAAGGTTTGACAGTAGTTTGTTTTGTTTTTTTTGTAGTATGTTGTTTTAAGCGCAAAGACATCTACTAAACCTGTATGTCTCCAACTTTGAAAATAACACTGATAATGTCTGAATAACATAGAGACGCTAGAGGCGGATTGAGGAAAACAACACGTTGAATCAAACAGCGCTCTGTATCAGTGTAATTGCAAATAAACTAATGCAAAGAAACTGATTTGCCCTTTATTTATTTGTATTGATGTATTTGGAAATGTACTTTAGAAATGTGTGCTTCTTTCTAATCATCTGCATTGAAATTAAACCAACACCTATCAATTCGATGCCCTTAAAAGTCCAAAAAAATCTATTGCCTATTCCTGCCATAAAAGTTTGCTGTAGCCTACAGCAACTAGCATTAGTGACCTCACACACAAATACACACACACACACACTTTAATTGCCTCACACACAAATACACACACACACACTTTAATTCCATTATAGCAAAAAGCTTCTCATTATGTAAATTTAACGATGTCATGTATATTTCACATACCTCTAATCGCTGCATGAAAATTTAATTGTGTCACCGTTGTGGTTTGAATGAATGAGGTGTTAATTCATTGGGATTAATTAATTAAGGTAAAGACTGTGTACAAGGTTACGGCTGGTGCATTAAATCAATTTGTTTAGCGCTCATCTGCTAATGATGGTCTTTAATGACGAGGTCTCATTATTTCTACCAGTCAGAGACGAGACGGGGCCGTGGTCCAATAAGCTAGCCTGGCAAACAAACCTATCTTTTTCCATCAATGGTGTAACTGTAACAGGACCGTACTGTAGTTTTGCTTCAGTTTGGATGATTATATGAGGTGAGTTGTAAAAAAAGGCAAAATTTAACAAGCCAATAAGGCACATAGTGTGTCACATACTATAGAAATAACATCTAGAGAGACATGCAGGGGCTTACATGATTTAACTTGATCTACTGTAATATATGTTGACTAGCCCACTGGTATACTTTTTGGTGATATTCTAATTTTTTGAGATAGGATTTTTGAGTTTTCTCAAGCTCTAAGCCATAATCAGCAATATTAAAATAATAAAAGGCTTGCAATATTTCAGTTGATTTGTAATGAATCCAGGATGTATGGCATTTTTGTTTTTTTAATTGCATTAAAGAAAATAATGAACTTTATCACAATATTCTAATTTTCTGAGACAGTCCTGTATATATATAAGTTCTAATCCAACATGGCCAGCTCCATGATGAAAACCTAATCACTATGTCCCCACAAAATGGCACATTCTGGGGAAATGTTCAGGTGAGTACACATTCATAAAAACATCAAGATGTATTTTTCATTAAATCACTGCCAATAGAAGATTACTATAATATTCACCACGTCTTTGTAAAAATGTGACAGTCCCTGTTATAGATAGTTAGATAGATAGATAGATAGATAGATAGATAGATGGAATTTATTTTCGTGTTTGTAAATGTAATATGAAGTGAATTAAACCTTTTTATTATTTATTTTTTTTAATTATTAGACCTAATTATTACACCAGTTATTAAACAATTTATGAGGTATGTAGTAAATGTTTCAAACAAAAAGGCCAGACTGGTGTGGTCCAGGTATTACAATGCATACAACTTTCTATGGTCATTTGCTAATAATGTTAAAAAGGCCTCAAAATATGCACATTTATGGAATTTAAATAACATCAAATAGCTACTTACAGGAAGTGGTAAAATATTTGGCCAGAGGGCAAAAAGGTTGTCGGAATATATCTCCTGGAACTCCAGTTGCTGACCTACTTCATTTATTGGACAGTAGAGCAAAGGTATTCGTTGTAAAAACCAACGTCTAGTCTCCAGTTGTTAGTGCCTGCCCTGTGAGCACTTTTTTTTTATTTGTCATCATCTTCACTGCTCTGGCAGTTTATGTCTCGCGAGAGCAGCCGAGCAGGGGCTTGACGAGATCTGAGGCGCTCAGGTGTAAGAGCCTAGTAGACAGATAAGTGAGTCTGAGAGACTGCAGGCATCTCTGTGATCTCCGGGCTCCAGGCTGCACTCGGCGCACTGCACACACACACAACCAACTGCACTGCATCGCCGCTCGGATAAGCGAAGGACTACGGTGCATCTATGACTGTTCCCCAGGTCTTCCAGTTGTCTCCCTCTCTTCTTCTTTTTCTTCTTCTTCTTCTTTCTGGTGCACTTTAATTGGAGAAGCTCGCCAAGATGATGTCCATGAACAGCAAACAGCCGCACTTCGCGATGCACCCTTCTTTACCCGAGCCCAAGTACACCACCCTGCATTCCAGCTCGGAGGCTATAAGGAGAGCCTGTCTGCAGACTCCACAGGTAAATAACACTCCCCCCCGCAAAAAAACTTCCACTTTCTCCGTCTTTTCCCTGCTGTGGCTGCTTGCAAGCAGCTGTGTTGAACACTGTGTGCGTGTGTGTGCGTAAAAGCAACCGCCGCTCCAAGGCGAATTTAGCCAAGACGCGCGCTTAATGTTTTTTTCATGGCGATCACTCGGATTTGTCTGTGATCTTTTTTGAAAGCAGGACAAAATCCCGACTCCTTTGATTTTGTGATAATTTTTCCTGACTTGCTGCTGCTGAAGGAATACTCCTAGTAGTGTTTGTGTCGCCTCTGACAGATGCATTTATTCATCTTTCCCTCTTGTCTCCCTTCTCCTCGTGTTGTCCCATTTTCTTACACATTTCACACCCCTTCGTGTTCTGTGTACTCTTGCAGCTGCAGAGTAACATTTTCGCCAGCCTGGATGAGACTCTTCTGGCCCGGGCTGAAGCTCTGGCGGCCGTGGACATCGCCGTGTCCCAGGGCAAGACGCACCCGTTCAAGCCCGACGCCACCTACCACACAATGGCAACGGTGCCATGCTCGTCTACATCCTTCGTTCCACTGGCGCACCACCATCACCATCACCATCACCACCACCACCACCACCAGAACATGGAGCCCCCGGACATCATGGACCACATCAACTCGCAGTCCCTCAGCCTAATGTCCAGCGCGCACGACGGGGCCGGTGGAGGAGGCGGCGGCGGAGGCGGCGGTGGAGGACTGATCTCTTCCGCCTCTGCCCACCCGCACTCTCACATGCACGGCTTGGGTCACCTCACCCACCAGGCTATGAGCATGAACTCGCCGCTCACTCATCACGGGCTCTTACCGGGCCACCACGGCGGGAGTCAGGGCGGCCAGGGGCTCAGTAACGCAGGACTCCCTTCAATCAATGACTCGGACACAGACCCAAGGGAGCTGGAGGCTTTCGCTGAGCGCTTCAAGCAGCGGAGGATCAAGCTCGGGGTGACCCAGGCGGACGTTGGCGGCGCTCTGGCGAGTCTCAAAATCCCCGGCGTGGGTTCACTCAGCCAAAGTACAATTTGTCGTTTCGAGTCGTTGACTCTGTCTCATAACAACATGATTGCGCTCAAACCTATTCTGCAGGCCTGGCTGGAGGAGGCCGAGGGCGCACAGAGGGAGAAAATGAGCAAACCTGACATTTTCAACGGTGGAGAAAAGAAACGGAAGAGGACCTCGATAGCGGCCCCGGAGAAGAGATCTCTGGAGGCTTACTTCGCAGTTCAGCCTCGACCCTCGTCCGAGAAAATAGCAGCCATAGCCGAAAAGTTGGACCTGAAAAAAAATGTTGTACGAGTGTGGTTTTGTAACCAAAGACAGAAACAGAAACGGTTGAAATTTTCCGCTGCTCACTGATGACAAAACGAACATAAATCAGAACAAAAAAAGTTTTGTGGCTGAATTTGGGACCAAATGGACACTGAGACACCACTTTCAGTCTTTTGTCTCCAGCGATTTTACAAGTTGGTAACGATGGGCTTTCTACCCATGTTACGAGGCTCGGTTTATTCTGTTTATTTTTCACGTTATCGGTGAATGTGAAGTATGCAAACAACAGATTACACAGAAAATTCGCTCAAGTTGTAACGAAGGACGTCTACATTTGCCTTTTAAAACACGCGTGGACAGAGGTAATTTGCTTTATAATAACAGCGAGTTATTCCTCCTGAATAGGCCTATATTATTTGAAGTACAGCCATTTAAGAATTACCTCATTGATTGTTGAACTGTGTTTTTGGTTGGAGTTCTTCTAGTTGTTGGTATAGAAATAATCCATGAACCTGTTCGTTTAATCATCTTCTTAATTTATTCCTTTTGGAGGCTGCTATAAACTCAAATTTAGTTTACTACTTTGATGGCTAACTGGAAAAATAAAAAATAACATTAGGCCTGCATGGAATTTAAATTTACCGGCAGTAATTATTTTAGCCTCCTCAGGCTCCCACCTCTATAAATATATTAATTTTGAATTTGCACAAAAGGACCCTTTGGTTTATAGATCAGTAATGTGAAAATGGTTTTGTATATACAGACTTTACTTTATCACTCTCTGAGCTAAATGAGCTGAGATAAATTCTAGGGTCTATTTATTGTCTCCATTGGGATCTTTGTTGTAAAACAAGTTTCAGAGACACCCAGAGAGCACGAGTCCTTTCTGCTTCACGAAGGAGGCATCACAATAATTTATTATTATTATTATTATTAAAAAAAGAGGAAATTTTAGTCTGCAGTGGTAACACTATGCATCGGGTTAAAAAAAAAAGAAATCACTGCATTACAGTAGGGTTGTCTACTGCTAGACCTCATTTTGTGGATGGTGTAAAATCACTGTTTAAAATGCCTGTTTTCACATTAAGGTCACCACGTTGTTTATCGTGTTAACTGTTAACGGGAAACGTTGTGTAAGTAAACTTTTACTTTGTGCACAAGTATGTTTACAGAAACCGCGGCGACATGTGCATCAAATGTCCCACTGTCTCCTTTTCCTGTCCCATAACTTCTCCACTCTCCTCTGTTGTCCTGTTACTTTCATTGGTACTGTTCATCCTGTAAGCCAAAATTCAACAGGGAGATGTGTTCCAGCAATCTTCTAATAAATAAAAAAAACACGACACTTTTTCTGGCCCTGACGCTCAGCCTTGATGTTTTGAGAATAAATGTCGTTATTTTGTATTCTGACCACAGCTTAACATTTATCGAGATTGTGTTAATTTTTCGAGGTTGCTATTGTATGAACGTGGTAAATTGTGGATAGGATATGCCCAGCTAGGGAGAAAAATTTCTTTTGTTATGTTATGAAAATGTTTTATATATATACATATATATAAATCACCATTTAAGGAGATTTATTGGAATATACAATTTATTCATGAGATCTATGTAACATTTCCTTTTTTAATTTTAAGACCAATTTATTATTGTTATTATTATTATTATTATTATAACTCACATTTTATTTTAAAATTATTACAAGTACTATAAGAAATGTACCTTTTTTTATACCTGCCATATTGTAAAATTAAGCATTTTTTATAATATTTCTCTTCATCTATGACTAACGCAATGTTACCGTAAAGTCATGCCAAAGGGCTCATCATCAGATTGAGAAGAATTGAACAGAATAGATAGATTAGAAAAATGATAGGCACTGTAGGCAGGTGAGTAAGTCGAGACAGACAGATACGGTGAGTATCTTTAATATACTGCACTGTACACTGAATATTTGTGCTCATTCACATATGTTTTCGGTGGCCTACACCAACACCAGGCTGATTTTATTAAAACACATAAATTATTCACCACAGCGTACATGCACTTACTATACAGGACGCAAGGAGGAAGGCTAGTGAAAAACTGCAGGAATACCAGGAAGGCCCGTTATTGTTTTTCTAACAGTGTTTTATATATTTTTTTATTTGAATTTATATAATAACTCGTCATAAAATACAGTTTTTTTAATTAATCGGTAGCTATTTTCGTTCTGCCATTCCTATTTTTATCTGAGGCGTTTGAAGTTTTACAAAGCATCCCATCCCACGCAGAGTAACACAACACCTCTGGCTCTGAAGCCGCTCCACACGCGGTACCACACCAGCCAAGCGGCCATAATTTCAGCACCACGAACAGCTCCGCTGGCGGACACAGCAGTATAATGCATTATTGAAAGGCTGAATCAAACAGCTCAGCGCTGCTGTCTCTCAGCTCAGGGCCGCTGGATCAGGTCGGACTGTCTGCCTGCTCAATAGCCTCTAATATGTTAATGGCCGTAGGGGAAGCCCGAGGTACCGTCCCCAGCTGCCTCGCCTGCCATATGTCAGCCCGTTACAACACAGTCTTCTATTAATCAGGGGGGGTATTTCATCGGGAACTTCACCGATATCATAACCCCTAAAGCTCTATCGATATGCACGGTACGGCTGCATTTGATCGTATATCCTTTTGGTATTAAACATATTATTATCATCCTCATCAGGTCCTTAAAGTCTCCTCCCTTAAACTGTGCTCCATCTCTCTTCAGAGTATCCTTGACGGCAGCAAGAGTGCGAAATGATGCAAAATCCTTCCGAGTCAAGTGCAGAGTTTCTTCAAAGGTTCCTTCAAATATGGACCGTTTTCCATACTGAGTCTTAACCAATTGAAATCTTAGCAGACGAACACGTGTCAACAGTAATTCTGTGCACAAGTGACTATACTTTACATGCGGGCAATTCAACAACACCAACAAAAACATTCTAATCATCTTCTTGTTTGTAATTCACGGATGTAATTATGATGTCATTTCTGTTAACCTCAACGGCCTACAAGTAAAGCCCATTCCATCTGTGATCCTGGAGGACCGGATGCAACAGTTAATTAATTTGACTAATTAGCTGCTAAATTAGATGACAGTTTATAAGTTTCAGCAATACAATAGTGGAAATTCTAATTTCTTTGCCCGTTTACTATATATATATATATATATTGTTTACTTTCTTTTACGGACAAAACAAAAATGAATGATAGATGAATGAGTGAAATGTAAATTTTGTATTTGTATGGACTCAATGACTAATTGACTAATTAGGTGTGTCTGAGTTTTACACGCCATATTACTATTATTATTATTATTATTATTATTATTATTAGATAACAACATTCGCTACCCCCTCACTAGCTCCTATTAAAGGCCGCGTTGAATTAATGATGGGGAAGTCCAAACCCAAGGATCTCATAGCTTAATTCCTTCAGGCTAACAGTCAGAGTGGTAATTAATCTATGCTGTGGATGTAAATAAAAGGAAATTGGATTTCTGGAAAAAAAAAAAAAAAAACGACAACGAGATGAGGTTTTTTGGTGACATCACGTCGCTAAATAATGATTATATCGCATGTTATGGTAACGCAGGCGCTTAGATTTACGAGCCTGTGACTTTTTTCCTCAGCTCTGAGCGGAAGGAAGTGGACCTATATATTTCCTAATAGCAGCCGTAATGGCACCCGGGTTATAATTGATGAGCTCATTAATAATTATAACAACACATTAGAAGGTGAAAATTATAACAGAGAAGGTGCATATATAGTGATGCTTATTTCTGAACTGGGGTAAGCCCTTATTTTTGACTGTTTTACATCGGCAGTATCTTAAGAAAAAAAAAAAAATCTCCCAGCGAGGGGTCCGTTGATCTAACAATGCAAAGAGAGGTTGGCCTTTTGGACGGAAATGTCAAGCCGGTGATGTGGATGGGTAGATCCCCCAGATCTGCACTCATTTCCCACTCATATTTGCTCAGTAATCCGCTGTGGCTGCCCTCCATCGCCCGGGACCCGGTTTGAGAGGCGACGCTGTTGACACAGGGGTATATTTCAATCACAGAGGGTTCAGAGTCAGGCGAACAACTTATTTGTCTAATAAATCCGTCATTTAGTAAGAAAAATATTTGATCTTGAGGGGCTGACCTCTTATCATGTAGCTATACTGAAAAAATCTGGTAGATATGAGGATTTATGCAGGTGTAACTTGCATATTCAAGGTTGCGCGCATTCGCCTAAAGAAAAAAAAAATCTACCACCAAACTTCTGATTGTAGCTTTCTGGAAATAAATAAAAAGTAAAATCTAAGAGAAGGCTAAAAAAGTTTTGTAGTTCAGAGGAGAACTGGAGGATATAACGGGGCTGGTGTTGGGGAAAGACGTCATTTTCCATTCGCTTCTTTGTTCTGATCTGTTCGTTTGTATGGGGTTTAAAAATATTGAATCAATAAAAAATCACAACAGAAAGGTACCTGGAAAAATCACTCACAAGAGCCAACACATTTATCAGCGTGATTTTTGTGCCAAAATACAACTAAATAAACGCAGAGAAAACCGAGAATGAAACATCAGCCAAAATCTTTATGATTTTATGTCATTAAAAACAACAACTTTTAGTTTTATGAGTTTAACGAGTTTTATGGTACACCGAATTGACATTAAAATTTAAAATAAAATTGACATATTTTATGTATATCCACTACTAAAGCTTTCACCTTAGACTGAACTCCAGGGGTGAGGTGAATGATGCAACTTCCGTCCAAATGTGCCATTTATTCATTAACTTTTTGTACAAGTGGCCTAGACTGTCGCTTTGGTTACAACTCCTAGAGAGTACACATATTCAAACCAGAAATAACACAATTGTTAAAAACTCGAACAGTATTTTTGACACGAGTCATAATGGAACCAAACCAACAATGCACTCTGTCTCGATGCGTCGGCTTCTTGGCGTCATTTCATTGTCTCTTTATAGCATTTAACATATTATTTAGTGTACACTAAATAAAATAACACAAACAACCTGCACTTTTAAGATAGACACTGTTAAATTTCACGAGGGGACTCTTGACTTAGCAGTCGTCTGTTTTTATCTCTTTATTCTACTTGTTGGACGAAGCGGCAGGGATGGAAAACGACGCCGACGTAACAAAGCAACCAAGAAATTTTTAACGCCCCTGCACCATTTGACATTCATGCTGCTCAAGTGTATGGCGCTAAAACATCAAAACACTTGTCAACGTCTGCGCTGACTCGTTGCAGGATGTTTCACCTCATTCAAGAAATTACGCCTTGCCAACTAAATGTCACTTCATGCAAAATGTGCCTTATTCCTTAAATGTCATTTATTTCCTAGTTCCTGCCTCTTTAGAGCTGTCATGGCCCCAGGCGGGCTGCTCATTGAACCGTAGCATTGAACACATTTCCCTGTCATCATTACCTGCATTTGGCGCAGGCAGAGGGCGCCTCAGTGTAGGGGCGAGGCCTTAGTACAGGAAATAAGGAGAAGGCTCAGAAGTCACATTAAAAACTTTCATAATTACAAAAACATTTGCAGCTACACTTAGAGCTCGCGTTGACAGTCTGTGCTCATATTAGTTATTTATTTAAAGGCGAATTATTTAACCATTTAAGTGTAAACAAGTAGGATACTATATGGTAGCCCCAGTTAGCACGACAACACAATATTATTTAGTGTGTCATATTTTAGCGAATGTAAGAGAAACAGTGAACATAGAGTGGACTTGCTCTTCAAACAAATAAAAAATCAAGTTGTAATTTGTTATTAGCTTAGATTCATAAAGTAATTAGCTTGATATTTCAACATTCCATTTTACAAACAAATAATTGCCAATAATCTCATGTGGACAAACATTTCAATATTAAATTCAACTGCACCTCCATTATGGATATTACGTTAATGTATTTGGCGGATAGCGACGTTGATTCACAGCGCACCGCTATTTCCTCAACTTCCAAAAACGCTGAATGTTTTGTATTGGTTATACAAATGGACCAGGGTTTTCTTTTTCTTTCCTTTCCCCCTTTTTTCCCCTTCCATTACTTTCCCTCCTCCGCCACTTCTACATTAATGGATTTTTTATAGCAGCACTATAGGCCATAACATGTTTTTTTCCCCCGTTCAGGACCTGTGAGGCCATTTCATGTGTCACAGTGAGGCCAGTCCCCCCTTCGCCAGCTATTGAATATCTTCCTCTGTACACACGGACTTTGATAATGAGGAGAGTGTCGGCCACGGTCTGCCCGCCGCCACGCCATCAAATATTTATCAGTGTTGATTAAACAGCCGGCAGCTGTCGATCG